GTGTATTCTGATTACTAATTCCTTGTCAGATAGGTAGTTTGCAAATATTTTCTCCCATTCTGTGGGTTGTCTCTTCACTTTGTTGATTATTTCCTTTGCTGTGCAGAAGCTTTTTAGCTTGATGTAATCTCAGTTGCCTATTTTTGCTTTAGTTGACTGTGCTTTTGAGGTTTTACACAAAGAAATGAATGAATGTTTTCAAGTCTGCCCTTTGTCTTGCTCTGATCACTGTTGAGTGGATACAGCCTAGTGCTTTTGCACCTTTCCAGCTCCCAAGGGTTGCCCATGAACTTAAGAGGGCTTTTCTTGATATCTCTGGTTCTTTTCTCTGTGTTAAACTTCTGCCTGCTCTGCCATTCTGCTTATACTAGAAGTCCTAGTCTTCCTTAACTGTTTTTCAAAAAGATCTCTACTGTTTTCAATAATGCTCTTAGGCGTGGGCTTCTCTACCTTCTGTCCCAAATAAAGTCAATCCTCTCCTGCAGAGATAAGGAGCTCTTTGTCCTTACGACCTGCCTTTTCCCCTGAGCAGAATCACTGTGCCGCTGCACCTGGAGCTGGGGATGGGAGCCTTCTTTTCCCGGAGTGACACTCCACTCTTTGGGTGGGCACTGGGGTGGTGGTAACAGCCCCTGGTCTTCTTGGCTTGCTGCTCCCAGCATGAAATTTCTACTGTGAGAGCACACTGAGGTGGCAGCAGTCAGGGCCCAGTGTTCTCAGCCTGCTGGACCTGGAGTAAACCTTTCACCGCTTGAGTGGGAGATGAGTAGGGGAAGGGGGAGAGAGATGGGTCCTGTGTCATCTTCCCAGGATGGAGCTTCTGAACATCTGAGCAGAGGGGATGAGAAACAACAGAAGCCTGGCCTTCCCAGGGTGTAAAGCTAGCCACAGTTTTGGAGCTGGAGGGAGAAGGAGCCCCTGTCTTTTGGCTGCACACACCAGAGGTAGAGATTCAATAACAGAGCTGATGGGATGGGGTTATTACACATCGTAACTCAAATGCCACA